ACAGCCGCGGGAACGGCTCCCTCCGCCGCCGCTCCCGCCGCTGCCGCCGTTGCCCGGGCCCCGCCGCCGTTGCTAGGCGACCGCTGCTGCCGTGGCCGCCTCTGTCACGAGCCCCGTCGCCCGGAGACAACGCGAGAGAGACGGGGGAGGGGGACAGAGGGACCCCCAAAACCAACTAGGCCTCCCATCATCGCCTCCTGAACAGGACCCCCACCCCCAAAAGAGAGAGAAGCCCTTGAAGAGAGCGAGCGTTTGCAGCTCCACCCAGCAGAGGAGGAGCCCCGGATTCCAGTGCCCTCGAAGGTCCGGCGACCTCTCCCGGGCTGGAGCGTCCACAGCCACGGCAAACACCTTTGCAGACCGGGGCCCCCAAGGCCCCCAAGACCTTGATGTCCCCTGCACACCCTCCATGCCCTCTACACATTCTGTTTCCCTCTGAAGATGCCAAACGTTCACCAGCTATTACCTTCCACTAAACCCTGCCCCCCCCCCCATATATATACCCTGGAACCATCCCAGGCTCTGCTAAAGCCCAACACAGTAACCTCCACCGGCCACCTAAACGCCACCCAAAACACAGGAGACCCACACCCAAGGCCTCAGCACTCTGAGGACCCAGCGTAAGGAGACAGAGAACTGTAGGCAGAGCGGCCAGGCGCAGGACACATGACAGACACACTCTGTGAGCATGTTACCATTCCGGTGCACACAGGTACACACTGCACACCAAAAATTATGCACCAGACACGCACAACAGACAGACATCCCCATCCTCTCTACAGTCGGCACCACCTCCTCCTGGCTTGCCTCAGAGTGCTACCTACAGCCCTGTGTCAGTTTCCATGACAATGACACACGTCCCTGACCACTGGTCCAGGGTCCCAAAGCTGACCCCCAAGGGCAGTGAGGCCTAGACCGATATATCAGAAGGCAGCTGGCTGGAGCCAATGGGTAACACAGGCCACTGGGTCTCTAAGGAAGCAACTGGAAGCCTGGATTCCGGGGGAGGAAGAGCCGGTGGGATAAAGGGGTCGCCTGGGGTTGAATGGGGGTCACGGAAGGGAAGTGCTGAGGAACCGGGCAGTGGCAAGGGGGTTTCCGGGGACTGAGGGCGTCTCTGCACCTTGGCTGCAGATCCCTGTTCTCTGCCTTCATCCCCCCTCACTGTTCCCATGGAAACCTTTTAAGCGAACTTCTCAGAGGAAGACAAAAATCTTTTTTTAAATGACTAAAGAGGGGGGTGGGGGGCAGAAGGGAGGAGGAAGGGGGAGAGACAGATGGAGAGAGGGAGAGACCGTGAGGAGATGGGGGTCTGACAGAGTTCCACCCAGAGCGGAGGGGAGGGACCCAGGGATCAAGAGCGGACTGGAAAATGAGAATGGGGGACAAGAGAGCAGAGGCGATCGCTGCAGGCCACAGATCAACCGAGGAAAGGGGGCAGAAGGAGGAGAAGGCCACGGCCTGGAGGGCTGGAAGAAGAAGGGAGCTGGCGGGTGGGACACGGGTCTGGTGGAGGGCGGGGACTAGGGCGTTCTCCAAGTTCCCAGACCGAGATGTGAGTGAGGGCCATGGCCAGGAACACAGACGGAGACCGGAGAGCTAAGGAGACTATTTTTACAGGCACCGGGAAACAGTCAAACTTCGCTGCAGGAGAGGAAATGGGGAGCGAAGCAGCGTAGGGACACGCGGGGGCCGCTCACCAACAGCCCCGGTACCCCGCGCAGCCCGGACGAGGGCGCCCTGTCCTCGGGATCGGGATCACGGCAGCTCTCCGCCCCCGCCCGCTCCCAGCAACTGTCCGGGGCACGAGCCTGCTCGGCCGCCGTACCATGCTCGCCGTGGGGCCGCCCCTCCACCGGCACAGAGACCGTGCGTCTCAGCAGTTTGTTGCGGCTGGACTCGCTCCTCCGGTCGCGGATCAGAAGGGGGTGTATCTAGGGGATTGGGGAGTGTGTCAGACCCCGCGGGCCGCGCCCCTCCTCTCCCCTTCCATGGGAGGCCGGCCCCCTGCCAGCCCGCCTGCCCCTTCCGCCCCTGCCCATTTCACCAGGCCCTGCTAAGGGGACATCTCGGTCCCTCCTCTCCCTCTTCAGACAGTCTAGAGAATTCTCCCCAACCCCGCTCAGCGCTTCCCGCAACTCCACAGGAGTTAGCGACCTCCTGCATCTGGTTTCCCCTTGACCTTCAGTTCGTCCATTCTCCCTGCTTCCCTCCCAACCTCCTACCTTCCTCACCCCCTTCTCTCCCTCAAGCTTGTCACAGCTGCATTTATAATCAGTTCCACAGCTTGTCTCCCTCCCACAGCCCGGCTTGCGGCCAGACTGGGACCCAACCTCCCCTCCCCCCAGAGGGCCTGGTCACCTCCCCCCTTTCGTCTCCTTCCTTTACCCTCCACCTGCATCTGAGTCCCCCTTCCCGCAGCCCGACCTTTCCCTGGGCCTCACCTCAACTCCCCCTGGGAGTCGTCATCCTAGCTTCCACCCCTACCAGAAGCTAGACTCCCACGAGGCCCCACCATCCACCCAGTTCCAGCTCTCTAGGCTTCATTATTCCAGCTCCTCTGCCTTCCCACTCCCACCTTCCTACCAGACAGGCTATTCCTGCTGGCCGGTGGCTAGTGGGTCCTCTCTGTCTCCATCTCATGTTGGTTCCTCTTTTCCCAGCCCATCCAATGGACTTCAAATCCCTGGTCTCGGCTGATGACCGATGCCAAATCACTCAAATGCCTTTCAATTCCCCAACCTGAGGTTTACCAGGCCAGCTCGCCTGCAGCCAGGGTTAGCATGCTTTCCCAGACCCTTCTGTTTTGTGGTCTGGCATTCTGTCTCCACAGCCTCACCTGCCCTCATGGCCCCCTCCACCCTGGTTAGCCCGAGTCCAGTTCCATCCCCAGCTCTCACCACCTCTCCCAGGCTACCCTACCACTCTCTAAAGATGGCTCCCCACATCTCTCACACCCGAGGGCCGGCCTCACCCTTCAGATTTGGACCCTTCTTCTCTGAGGAACTGTCTATTGCTGCCCCTGTTCCTCCTTTGGAACCCACACCCCTCTGACTCTCCACTTCATCTCCTCACTCCTCGCCCTACCCAAGTCCATACTCGAGCTGCCTGCCTCCTCAGACCGCCCCTTGCATCTCCCTTTCTGAAACCTAACCAGCCCTGCAGAAGCATGTGCAAACCCTGGTCTCAAGTGCACACCATCTTGGCGACCTCGGTCACCTGTCAGCCCCTCCCACTTCCCCTGCCCTTTCTCGGGTCACTCAGTCTTGGTCTGCACTGTGCGGCATGATGAAGACCTGGGAGCGGCAGGGAGGGCAAGCTGAGGCCGCTCTCTCCCATGGCTCCCCCCCCCAACTCTAACCTATCCCACAGTATGGATGGGGTGAAGACAGGAGGCACACTCAGATCCTCAGAACCACAGCTCCTCCATCCACAACACCGCCAATGGCCTCAAAGACCTGCTAGCAAAGTCAAAGAATGGCTGTCCTCTTCCTAACATCCTGGCCACACCTCAGTGGTCGCCCTCGGCCCATCTCTCCTTGGGGAGCTCTTCCTTTCACTGACCAGGGCCCTCCCCACTGTCCTCTCCACCCTCTCCCACTTTTCCCGACCTCCTCGCCGCCGCCCCGCTCACCTCATCCTCATCCAGCATGAGCAGCTGGTTCCCCGAGATGATGCAGAACCGAGGGTTCCAACCAGGACGATCGTATGGGGAATGAACGTATTGGGTTCGGTGCACAGGGGGTCCCCGTACATCTGGGGGACAGAGACACACAAACAGTAAGGGAGGGGCTATACTGTGGGCGTAGAAACCTAAATGGAAGGAAGAGTCTGAAAAGCGGGAGAAGGGAGTGGCACCTGCCCGAAGAGACCTGTTGGGCATGAACTGCCCATCAATTTTCAAGGGTCAGAAGATGAGCCTCACACTGAGGAGTCAGTCCTAGGAGGCTCCAGGGATGGGATGGGAAGTAGTCTCATGACAGAGAGGGACTTGACTGGGGCCGGAGAAGGTGAGAGCTCTGCTCGTTCCCTTGTGTGTGGGGTGGAGGGGGAGAGATTTACTGAAACTGGCCAGAGATAGAGAGGTCAGGGGGAGGCACTGGTGGCCCGCTACAATGGATGCGGCCCCACACGTCTAGGAGAAGAGGTACCTAGCTTGTGGGAAAGAAGATGGGTGTTTAAGAACATTTGGGTCACGAAATTCTGAGCGCTAAACATCTGGAAGACAGGAAGTGGGCTTCCATGTTCAAAGAACACCTTCCTCCTTCCCTAGTCCTACCCTGCTCCTCCTTTGGGGGAACTGTCCAGGGAGAAGACAGCGTTTCTAAGGAGGATCAGGGTGGGAGAAGGCGGGAAATAAACTGTCAGGAAAACCAGAGACCAGAGCAGCCTTTGTCCACAGCGTGCTCAGCAGTCAAGAGTCAATCCTGCTCTCCCTACCTAACCTCATGGACAGGAAGGAAGCCGACTCCACAGGCTGAGACCTCACCTGGGCACAGTGAGGGACCTAAGAAAGAATGAAGGAAAGACTGGAGCCGCCAAGCCCGATACAGAGGAACATCCCAAGAGGAGATGTGAAGACAGACCAGGTTCCAGAGGAGATCGGGCCAAGGGCTGTGCGTGCCAGGGTCCCGCAGGCCCATCTGCGATGTCTGGCCAGCAGCTGCCACACACCACTCATGGGGACACAGCAAAGGGCCTTAAGGGAGTCAGGAAAGCAAGACTGGAGACATCAGAGTGGTGAAACCAGGCTTAGGACGCTGGTTAGAGAATGTTCACTGCAAGAAAACCCAGTGCTGTCCTCTCTGCGGATAATGAATTGGGCACATTCAAGAGAAATGGCCTTGGGGCCTTATTCCGGTGCCTTGAGTGACTTCTGAAAAACTCCATCCCCTCACTGATTATGGTAATTCCTCAAATTTACCCAACCTGCAGGCCAGAGAGAAAGATGAACCCCTGGGATCTAAGTGTCTAGAAATCACAATACTTTCAAATTTTCACTCTCAGTGCTTCCTTGGAGACCACCAATATTCTCTATGCACAAAGACCACTGGCGGGCAGGGGAATATAGCTCGGTGGTAGGAAAAAAACACTAGAGTTCAAAGGCCCCAGCACAACCACCACCACCCATAACTTAGACCACAGACACTGGAGGCAACAAGCCTGCTGCTGAATCTCCACAGTGGTGCGCCCAGAGGAAAGAGCTGCTGATACATGTAACCACTGCAGAACAGGGGAGCTGCGGCTCCAGGCTGCAGCTGGGGCAAACAGGTTAGACCTCAGGGGACAGGGAAAGGGACACAGGGAACCTTAGCTTAGGAACAACTCACACACACACACACACACACACACACACACACACACACACACACACAGTCTAGACTTAAGAAAGATCATGATCCTGGCAGGCAAAGGAACATGGCAGAGAAAGGGGAAATGGGAAATTTTTACTGCAGTGAGAAGTTCCACAAGGGTCCAAGAGCCCCTGTCCCAACAGTCAAACCCTGTGTTTTGGTACCCCCAAGTCTCCATCACCCCAGGAAGCAGAGGGGACAAGAGAAGAGGACCGGTGATGAAGGCTGGGGAATCAAAGGAAAAGAAGTAGGCACACACCATGTGACAAGATGGGATGTGGGGTAGGAAAGAGAAGATGGGTTGAGGGACACACGGCAGAGTGCATCTAAAAGTAGAGGAAGTAGATGACGAGAAACGCCTGGGACAAGGGACTAGATCAGGTGTCAGCCACCATGGGGCAGAGGCATTCCCTAACGAGCAACATGGGTCCAGGGGCAGCACCGGTGTAGTAAGGTAGTCATTAGAAGAGAGGGAGAGAGAGAGATAGGAGACAGGGGACTAATACAGGGAAGGACAGGAGGGGGACTCATATAAGAAACGGACACCATATGGGGGGAAAGATATAAGTGATGGACAGCAGAGGAAGGGAGGGGGAATGGAAATAAGAGGTGGGGTGGGGGGAGGGGAATTAAGTGAAGAGAGCAGATGAGACCCCAGGACTGCATTTCACGCATCCAGAGTCCTAAGGCGGGCCAGCCACGGCCGGATTCTAACCCGGCCCTTGCTCCCACCAGTCAATCTTACTTGCCTCTCCCCCAACCAAAAAAAAAAAAAAACACTTGGTCCTCCCCCTCCTCGGGCATCCCCTCCCCCAACCCTTTCCTCTCTTCCCTCCATCTGGACCCCCCCCCACTGCCACCCTCTTTCTCCATCTGGCCCCTTCCCTCCCTCCGTCCTCCTCTCTTCCCCTGCCCCTACTTGAGCCCCTCACCAAATCCCCTCCCCATCTTCTTGGCCTCTCCTCCACCCCTGTGTTTTCATTTCCCCCTCCCCCTAAGACCGTGCCTCTATTTCCTTGATATTCCTCCTCACTCAGCTCCCAAACCCAAATCATTTCTGCAGCTTCCCCCAAACTCAATCCTCCCTCCTTATGCCTTTTGGACGCTCTTGTCCCTCATCGCCTTCCCCTCGGCCCCCCTTCAGGGCCCGTGTCCCAGCCCCTCCATCCCTCAGATACCCCTATGCCTCTAACCTCCGATCCCTCCTTCCCCGCTGTTCCCACCTCTGCCTTCTCAGCCCTCCCCTCTCCCTCCATTTCAGCCGCTCCCTCCCCTCGGTGGCCCCGGCTCTCCCCCGCCCCCTGCCCCTCCCCCTCTCGCCCCCCCATCCGGCCCTCCCCCTGCCCCACCGCCACCACCGTACCTCTGAAGGGGGCATAGGACATCGCGGGGATGCTCCCCCGATGGATGGAGGCTCGAGACCTGCTCATCAGGCCTGAGGGGGAGGGGGCGGGGGGACGGGGGAGAAAAAGAAGAGAGAGAGAGAGGGGGAGAGAGAGGGGGAGAAGGAGGAGGTGGAGGAGGAGGAGGAGGAGAGAGGAGGAGAGAGGAGCGGAGAGGAGCGAGAGGAGGAGAGAGGAGGAGGAGGAGGAGAATAAGAGCCAACGGCAGCGGCAGCGGCAGCGAGAGAAGGGGGGGGCGGGGGAAGCGAGCTAGTGAGGAGAGAGCAGGAGGAGGAGGGAGAGGCTCTGCAGCCCCCACCCCTACTCGGGGAGACCCGGAAAGAGAGCGAGCGAGAGACCCCCTGACTCCTGCACACCAGAGGCAGCCGTCCCGAAGAAGCTGACCCCAGACCCTGAGACAGACCCCAGACCCACGGAGGGATACCTCACCCCTCACTCCACACTCCACAAATGGACCTCACGGACCCGAATCTAGAAGGAAAGAGACCCCTGATCTCAGGGGGGAAACGGACAAACAAAACAAAACAAGAAACGCGCCCCCTCCCCAAGAAAGGAGTCAGGTCAGAATCCGAGAACCCAGTCTCAACACGGTTCTCCAGACCCACGCCAATCTTAGACTTCGGACCCTGGGTTGGTAGTTTTGGGGGCCCAAAACGGAGACCTAGACTCGAAGAAGAAGAAGATGAAGCCAGTTTGAGAAAGCACCCCAGCCCAGAATTAGATCTTGGGAACTAGCTAGAGATGAGAAACCCCAGGTTGCTGTCGCAGAGAAAACTGCAAACTTGGGACCCAAAGATGGAGAGAGACCTGAAACTCATTAAACCTGAGAGACCTTAGTCGGGGATCACTGGACTCGATTCCCAGAAGCAACTCGAAAGGCAACTCAGACCCTATAAAGATCCCAAATATTGGAGACACCACACACACACACAAGGATCTGTGAGACAGAGACCGCCCCCAACTCATGGGGGACATGAAGAGCCTGAACTTGAGCCTGGGGAGCCCCAGGCGCCCACGCCGGGGACCCCAGGCCCTGGAGGAAGGGGTAGTGTTGGGGTGGCACAGCCTCTCCCCTGCCGTCTCCTCCCTCTGCGCTGACCTCTCCCCGGGCCCCCTCTTCATTTTTGGGTCACTGGGTGTGTGTGGGCCCCAGGGAGGTTATGTAGGGCAGGCCCCGGCTCCTTGGGGGGGCGGGAAGCGGGGAGGGGGGATGGATGAAGGCCAGGAGCCCCAAGACTGAGCGGTGGGCCAGCCCTGGGGAGAAGGCACAGGGCCATCACCCCGGGACGGACCCTAACCCGCAGTTCTCATGGCTCCCTTTCCCCTCCTGGGCCAGCCTGATGCTGAGCTCTGGGTGTTCGGGACCGGGGTGTCCCCACGGCCAGCCACGGCCGTGCCCAGCCCTGGCCGGGCCTTGATCACCGCCCCCTACCCAGGGGCAGCTGGCTTCCCAGCTCGGTGCCAACGCGAGGGCGGGGAGGAGGTGGGGGGGGCGCCGTCCCCGCCCACAGCTGTCTGCCCGGCCCCGCCCCCCTCCCCGGCCACGGCTGGGCCCGCGGTGCGGGGAGGAGGAGGGGGACTGTTACTAGGCACATTCCGGGGCGCGGGACGACTCCCCGGCCCCAGCCTGACGCAGCGAGGGCGCCCGTCCATCGCCAGCTCCCGCGCGCGTCACGTGGCCCGCGAGGCCGGCCGGCGATTGGCCTCGGCCCGCGCGGCTCCTGAGGCGGCGCCGCGTGAGAGGTCGGGAGCCGTCACGTGACGGCGGCCCGCCGCAGCGGCGTTTTCCCCGGCCAGCAGCGGGGGCCGGGGCTCCGCGGAGATGGGCGGGCCGCATCCTCGGTCCTGGCTGCCGATTGGCCAGAGGGCCCTCCGCCCCGCCCCCTCCCTCCCTCGAGGGGGCGGGGCCCCCGGGCCCCCGGAGGGCCGGGATTGGCCGGCTCTGGAGACTCCAGGACGGCCGGCGCTCCCGTCACGTGGCTGCCGCCCAGGTAAGAGGCGGCTGCTCCTCCGGGGCTCCCGGTCCTTCCCCCCGCCACCCCCGCCGTGAAGCGCGCGGCCTCTGATCCCGTCCCCTCCTCCTCCACCAGCTGGGGCTGCATGAGCTGGGGGCGGGCCCCCGTGGTCCTGCTCGGCGGAGGGGTGAGTCTGGCCCCGCCCCTTCCGGTCTCCAAGTTTCACCGGGCTTCAGTACCCCGAACCGCCTGCAAGTTGAAGGTGCAGGGGCGTTTTTCTTCCTGGTGCAGAAGAGGCTCGGTGTCTGCCCCAGCGAAGGCGCCCCGGGGTGCAGGCTCCTGGGGCGGCTGTGGGGAAGCTGAATGCGCCCCCCTGCTCTCAGGCCACGCTGCTCCTGTCGTTCCTTTGGATGCCCGCGCTGCTGCCGGTGGCTTCCCGCCTTCTGTTGCTGCCCCGAGCCTTGCTGTCCATGGCTTCCGGAAGCCCTCCCCTGCCCTCGCCGGGCTCCGGCTACGTCCCAGGATCGGTTTCTGCAGCCTTTGTCACTTGTCCCAATGAGAAAGTCGCCAAGGAGATCGCCAGGTGGGGACCCCGGCGAGATGACCGACCAGGGGGAGTTGGGGCTGGGAAGGGCGCTGCCTTGGCAGGGTCTCTGGGCGACCGGCACAGCCCCTGGCCGGGCGCGCTCGGAACGTGCTCTCGATTGACCCCCAGGGCCGTGGTGGAGAAGCGCCTAGCAGCCTGCGTCAACCTCATCCCGCAGATCACGTCCATGTGAGTCTCAGTTAGAAACTGAATTTCACGGGAGGGGCTGAGAGCTCTTTCTGGGGGAAATCTTTCTTCCCCAAGACTTTGTTCCCTTCTTTCTCTGACCTCTTCAGCTATGAATGGAAAGGAAAGATCGAGGAAGACAGTGAGGTGTTGATGGTGAGAAAATACCCCCCTTGTCTGGCTCCTCGGACGGCTCTGGCCCTCACCTGACCGCGGTTCCTCCCCGTGGTTGAACTGTCTCTCTTTGCCCTTTAGATGATTAAAACCCAAAGCTCCCTGGTCCCTGCTCTGACAGAGTTCGTTCGGTAAGAACTTGAAGGTATTCTTTTTGTGGCGGTACTGGGGAATGGACCAGGGCCTTGAGCATCTCAGGCAAGCACTGAGTGATATCCCCAGCTCACTGAAAGAGCTCTGAGGTGGACACTGTGGGGTGGACCTTGCTGGGGAGCCCAGGACTGGTGTCTGAATAACCCCTGCCCTGTGACTTCTGCAGGTCTGTGCACCCTTACGAAGTTGCTGAGGTGATTGCGTTGCCTGTGGAGCAGGGGAACCCCCCATACCTGCATTGGGTGCGCCAGGTCACAGAATCCGGTTCAGATTCTGGCCCAGCCCCCTCCTCTGCTTAACGCCCTCTGGTTTCCAGGTGATGATGTCTGAGCCCCCAATAAATCCTCTCCTGTTCTCTCTGCCTTTTTTATTCCCCTTGTAACACAGATGTGGCTGGGGAGATCAAAAGTTCCTCTGGTCCTTGTATTCTGTCCGTCTTTCAGAATGACTCGCGTCGTCTACTAGGTTTGTTTATTTCTCTTTATTACAGTCATACAGAGTCTGGAATCCTGGACCACCGCCACCCCCATCTCTATACCCAGGGGTTAAATAGTTTAAAAAATAGTTTAAAAGCTGTAACAAAATAACATCAAAGGGAATGGGAAGGATGAGGGGTCAGGAGTCATGAAGGGGCAGAGAAGAGGACCTCTTCCCCGTCCCCCTGGATTCCAGCCTGGGTAGCAGGGAGAAGAACCACTCCCCGTCTCTCCAGGTACATCCCAGCTGTAGGTGAGGTCAGAGGTCAGGGCATGAAAGTGCCAGTGTGTGAACGGGGAGGTGAGGAGAAGGGGGCCGTCAGAAGATGCCCCCTCCCCCCCACTCAACTAGGTACTGCACAGAGCCATCGGGCCGCACCCTCCGCGCAAGGACCCTGACGGGGTCCCCGCGGGATAGGTAGCCAACCCCACCTCGGACTCCCCCCCCAGTCCCCGGAGACAAACTATGGCACAAGGGGGGAGGGGGGACTGAGTGTCTGGAAAGGCCTGGGATCGGGGCCGGGGCTGGTGAGGCAGTCGTGGAGTGGGAAGAACTTTTAGGGGTGTCCGTGGGGAAGCCGATGTGAAGTTCCAGGGGTGACCTGGGGGAGAGAAGACAGCGGTGAGACCAGATGTGGGCAGCTTTAATCCCGGCATTGGAGGTAGCGGGGCTGCGGGGAGTCTGGAGTCGGTCTGGGCTACCGAGACCCAGAAGGAAAGGAAGAGCTGAGGTTAACTAACGCGTGCTCACCTGTCCGGGGGTTCACCGTCCCCAGAGGTCCCCGCCGTGCTGGCACAGGGGTGGAAGGAAGCGAACATCCGGATGGGGCTGCGGAGGGGGCGGGCAAGTCAGGGCCTGGAGGGAGGCCTGTCTCCCCGCTCCTGTACTGTGCTCCCAGAACACGGGGAATCGCTTGGTTCTCGAAGTCTCGAGACAGAACTGAGAAGTGACCGGGAAGAGGGAAAGGGTGCGGGTGACTGACCTGGGCAGACAGCGGGCATCTGTGGGCCGGAAGTTGTAGCCGCTGCTGCCCTGATAGCTCTGGTTAGGGCTGGGGGGTGGTGGAGACACTGAGGCCTGTAAGAAAGGTCGGGGGCTGTGAGATGACCCTTGACCCTTTCCCTCACCCCACCAGTTTGCCCCGCGGTGCCCCGGCCCGCCCCGGTACCTGCAGGGCCCTCTGTAGACGGGCCCGCTCCCTCTGCTCCCGGGACCCATGCCGACTGCCCACTGCCGCGGGTGGTCCCTGCTCCTCCACTTTCTCCTTCTGCTTCCTCAGGGCGTCTGGCTCCGGCCTCCGTCGTTTCCCCAGGGGACGTGAGACCCCTCCCCCAGGGCCCTGCCCTGAAGGGAAGCTGTAAGAGGCCTCCTTATCCCCCCAGCCCCCTCCCAGGCACCCCAAGACCCCCCATTTCTGTACATGTACCCTCCAAACCTATCCTTGAGAATTTCCCCATCCCCCCTGGACCAGTGACCTGGTGGGGGCTCCGTCTCCAGTGAGAGGCTCCACGGGAGGAGGGGTCCGGGCATGGAGACCAAAAAGGCATTTCCTCTTTTTAATCTCCCTCCCTGAAATGAAGCTAGGACAAGGAGAGAGTCAACGGTCAGTGCTGTAGCCGAGTCCCTCACCCCGACTCCACACTGTCCCTGGGCCTGCCTTTTCCTGACTCACCGGTCCTTGTGGCTGTTGAGAGCGGAAAGGAGCTTGGAAGAACGTTCTCCCTTGGGGGTGTCTGAAAGCTGAAGGAAGAGGTAAATGGGTCAGGGAGCAGTCGTTCCCCTCCATGTCCCACCCCAGTTTCCAAACTTTAGAAAGAACCCTTACCTCCCCGAGGAGCAGACTGTCCCAATTCTCAGAGGTGAAGGGGAGGATCTCGCGGTCAAAATCAAAGTATTTCTTCTTACAGCAAACACTGAGATGGTAGAGAACAAGATGGGCCACGTCCACCCTGGAGAAGCATGAAGTTAGCATTGTCAAAGTCAGGAGTCATTAGGGTAAAATATCAGGGAATAGAAAGGAGTCACATTTTGAGGGCACAATCCATCTCACCAGCGAAGCTGTAACCTTCGGACCTTCTCGGGGCCACCCCGGCACACACAGCATTCAAATTCATAGAATCTGTGTGAGTAAGGCAGAGAACACACCTCATTCGGTGCAGAGAGCTAACACGTGGGGAGGGGGAGCTGGGCAGAGCACAGCAGGAAGGCATCCCGGGCTCCTGCAGTCTCCACTGGGCTCACCTGTCTCCATAGAGGAGGGGCTTGCTCAGACACTGGGTGCAGGCCTCGTGGAACCACTGAAGGCAGCTCCGGCACTGCAGCATTTTCAGGTTCCACCTCCGGGGGAAGACAGCCTTCTTGAGACCACCCAAGACCCTCATCCACCCCCTCACCACGGGGCTCCCCCCACCCTGCCTTTCCCTTGTCCCTGGGCTCTACCACCACAACACCCACCCTATAACTGGCCGCACCCCTGGTCACTCACTCCCCAGGGCCGCCACAGTAACAGTAGCTCTGTTGTCGGTTGCTCAAGTGTCCAGCATCCCAATCCAGCCCCTTCAGTCCATACGGCAGAGAGAGCTTCATGCCCAGCATGGCCCGGGCGTAGGGACCCTTCTTCAGTGCGCCTCCCCTCTGCGGAGGAACAGGTGGAGACCTCAGGGAGGCAGGAGAGGAGGTCATGGGAGGCGCCCACAGGAAGGGGCCGAGAAGCGCCTTTACCTTGGTGGCAATGGCAAAGACGCACTGACGGCAGACCCAGGATGTGCCGTCTCCTTCTCCGGGGGCCGGGGCCCTGGGCACATGACAGTCCTGGTGATAAGCTGAACAAGCACACTGTTGAGGGTAGAGCACTGCCTACCTGCATTGGCGTGGCGCTTGGGCATGGCGGCCTTTCCTGCCCATTGAGTCCTGACCGGCCCTGACTCTGCCAGTGAGCAAGCAGGCTCCGAGCAGCTGAGGGCCTTGCCCGGGGAAGCACAGTTAGGAAAGGATGTGTGTAAGCTACCTCAGCCTTGCAGGGGCTTATGTCACCTTCATCCTTTGGCTCCCTCTCCCTGTCCCGAGAGATGAGGTGACAGGGTGAAGACTGGCCGGGAGACACAAAACCCACGGCACAAAGGCCAGGGGCAGTCCGGAAGACCCAGGGCAAACTGCACTGTCCAAGTACCCTGCCCTCTCACCATGGCGACACTTCTCACAGCTGACCAGCCGGTTCCCAGGGACCACAGTCTCAGAGCGACAGACACAACACAGGAGCTCTTCCCCGGGGAGGGCAGCTGTGGGGGAACCACGTGTGAGGAGGCTGACTTCAGGCCAGTGCCTCCACCACCACCACCCCAGCCTCTGCAGGTGTGAAGGGTCTCACCGGGGCTGATGTCCTTCCATAAAACCAGAAACTGGGAATCATCCTCAAACTGGACCAGACACACCTCCCGAGCGCTGTCCACCTGGAACGGGTGAGCGAGCAGCACAGGTTATGAAGTGGGGCAGGAGTCAGGAGAACGAGGAGCTGGTGAGGGCCAGAGGGAGGAGCGCTCACCTTCTTGATGGTGCCCAAGTACAAGAGCCCATCGGTCCACCTGGCCAGCACATCTTGACCCTCCCAAAGTCGAGGTCTGGGGCCCGAGGCGGGAGCAGGGGAAGCTGGATCCCAAAGAGAGGGTGCACCCAAGCGGCTCAGCCGGGGGAGCTGCGCCATTGCATCCTGGGGGGGCCTAAGTAGAAACGGGGCGGAAGAGTTGGTGAATGTTAGGAAAGCTTTACTGCTGTCCTTTTCTGCCGTGGATAAAGGGACCAAGCACCCCCAACGCCAGGCTCTCAGTCCTGCAGACACCTGAGGAGGGGGTCACCTGGTCAGCTCCCCGGCTCCACTCCTTTCTCTACTGTCTCCCCAGCCGAGTTCTGGAGCACCCCACCTCCCAGAGACCTCAAGGGAAAAGATGCTTGCACAACCGAGGTTACCACTCCGTTTCACCTTTCCCAGCTGTTTAGAGTTGTCCTAACTGGGACGCTCGGCTGCCCAGGGATATTTTGGGAGCTTTTCTGGAAATGTTTCCCTGAGTAGAAACAGCCGCCTCCTCAGACCTGTGTATCTCATTTAGAACCACTATCCTGGCGCCAGGTTATGTTAGGTCACCTCAAATTTGAGGCTCCTTGCCCTGGGATTAGGTAACTTCCCCGAGTGCCCCAGGAGGGGGGCGTGTCCCTGTCCAGGTCGCTACTCCCTACACCACCAGTCTAAGGAGGACTTGAGTCGTCTCGGCCCAGATCCCAAACCTGGACCAGAGGGTCTCCTGCCTTTTCCTGTGCACGACCCCTGGCTCCCTGCCCCCGCTCAGGGCCTCCCGCCTTCTCCTTACCGGTGACAGCTGGGGCAGCTGGGAGCCAGGCAGGGGCAGACCCAAGACACCTGGGTGAGCCCCCAGTGCGGGAGGAGTGCGTGTGGATGCCGGGAGGCGTGCGGGAGGAGGCCGGGGGGTCCCTGGGCCCAGCCCCTCCGTCCTGGCGGCTCTGGGGCGTATGACGCAGCAGCCAAAGCAGCGGCAGCGGCAGGAGGAGTCGGCAGAGGGAGGGAGGAGAGTGGTGGGTGGGGAGCACTAGGAGGAGGAGAAGCCGGAGGGGCGGGTAGGCAGCACCTCCCTCACCTCCGGCGCGCCCGGAGGGCACGGCACGGCTGGGGGCGCGGCCGGTCGGGGCGGACGAGGAAATCCTTGTGCCCCCTTTCGGGTGGGAGGCTCGCTCGCAGAGCAGCAGGAAATAACCCTCTTGGCAGCCAGCCTGCAGGTCAGGGCTGGGCCCCGCCCCATGCCACATCCGTTAGCTGCCCCGCCCCCGTAGCCACTCCAAGCTCCGCCTCCGCACGAGGCACCGCCCTCC